TAACCAGTTCGGTAGATTTGACGAACCGGTTCTACCGAATAGGTGCGAACTGGTAGGAACCCACCTCTGGCTGTGAAGCACTGTGAAGTGGTATATAAGTCTATGTGCTATTGCTATTCTCCATACAAAGTGTATGGCCTGCATATTGGAGTCTTCTGCTTGCCACAATTATATGTAATTTGCAGGAGAGACTCTTAGAACATTAGTAACATGGTCAAAATAGCAAATTTTTAGGATTCAGTGAAGGCGTCTTTGTTGGAAGATGTCAAGTCTTCTCCAATTAGGAGAAACAAAAAATTTAAAAAGGTGTACTTAGCCCTTACAAAAAGGGATAAATTCGCCCAGAAAAAATCCCAATCTTCAGGATGGGTTTGTAAAGACATGTCTTCTTTGTAGAAGCTAAGTCTTCCAGCTGTAGTAGCTGGCAGCCTATTCTTTTATTTTCAATCTACTCTATTCTTAGCAGTGGATGTAAGAGTTGACTTCTTCCCAGTTCCCAATTCATTGCTACATATTTAATGGAAAATCCTGGATTTCTTCATAGGGAAAAGGGCTTGTCTTCAAAACATCCCTTTCAGTTGTGTGTTTTCGCTATTTAAGGGAACAAAAAAATATATTAGATCCTTGCATTTCTAATAACTGTTGTCAGCTGATAGCTGGGCACGAGTAGCAAGACAATAAATCAACCAAGCTTTTTCCAGAGAGGGGACAGAAATGTTGTTGGGTGTTTTTTCCCCCACCCCAGAAGTATTTTAGGATTCTTTTATATTGTGATCTTTCCCTCTGTTTATTGTTCCTAACCTCCCCTGCTGCTGATGAAGTTTTAACATTTGTTATTGATTAATCACCATACAAGGCATTCTTAGCCAAGGCATCTCACTATTTGTAACAAAGGGTCATTGGGAGACAGCAGCACAGCTGGGCCTCCTTCTTTCGAGATGCAATCATCTTTCTTCCATCCATCATGGAAAATGGTTTTTTTAACAGTTATTGCTCCCTGAAGCTGGTTATCTCCAGTGACAACAACAGCCCTGGATCTGCTGGGTGAATTTCTAGGATCATGCAAACAATCCACCACCTATTTACAATTTCACACCTCTTTATTTCTCTAAGCAAAATACAACCAATATTTACCCTGTTTCCCTGAAAATAAGACCTCCCCAGATGATAAACACAATCAGGCTTTTGAGAGCACGCACTAAAATAAGCCCTCCCCCAAAAATAAGCCTGTTCTGTCCCCCCCTTCACGGCTCTTAACAAATGCAAGCAGACAAACTTAAAAGGAAGTCTTTCTTTATCAGTTCTCAGTNGGCAGTCGGCAGAATTAGCCTGCAGTACTGCATTCCAACCAGTGCACCGCCATAGCTCTTCAATATATAAATGTTTAAAATCTCAATTTTATCTGACGGTAATCGCGTGACCCACAAGGAACAGGATTTCCTTGGGGTTGCCCCTATAGAATAAAAATTTCTTCACGTGGAAATGACTAATCAAAGTCATATATTTCATCACTCTGAAGGTAGATG